CAATCTGTCATCACTACCATAATTGTGTTTGTGTTCTGCGTTCGTGTTGTTGTTGATGCGGCAGCATGACTCTGTTGTTTTTGYTGTTGTTTTTATTGTTGTTGCTCCTGTTGTGCTGTTGCTATAACAACGTCTTACTGCCATCTAGACACTCTGTCGTAAAAACTACGATCATCTTTGTAACTAAAATAACTCCATTCGATGTTCWWATTGCAGGAAAAGTTTCATCACCTGCACAAAACAACACAAAAGCTTGATCCGAAATTGAAAATACAGATTTGGGACAATGACAAATTCTCTCCAGATGATTTCTTGGGTGAGTCACTAATGATAGCGGTATCAAGAATTGAATTGTTATACAGTAATGTTCCAACAACATTCGMAAGGAATCTTGCGAACTMATGATATTTATGTAGACATTTGCTGCAGTCAGCTCAGTCAGCCACAAGTAAAGGACATTTTATAAGTTTCAGKTCTAAATTAATGTTGATCTAAAATCACAYAGGGACACGAACGCTTGCACTGAACGATCTACCAAAGCCTTGCAAAACCCCAAGAAATTGCGCAAGCAAAGACGACCCCAGCATAAGGCAAGATCGCTCACGTGATTACGTAGACTTCTTTCATTGCGGACCGAAGTCTGTACGTGGATGGTATGCCTGCTGGAAGGATGAAACGAATAAAACAGAGAAGCCTGGGGTATGAGAAAATACAAAATGACGAAATGAACTGAAACTGCTTACATGTATATTAAAAACTGCTTGTATACTTGTAGGGCAAGGTCGATTTACAAATTGAACTACTCACTGAAGCACAAGCCAAGGATCATCCAGCAGGACTTGGACGTAGTGATCCAAATCAACATCCATTCCTACCCGAACCAGAGTAAGTTTCTGTGCTTAAACGAAYCATTATAGGGTACAAATTGAGTACAAACACTAAAACTGTGCAACATAAATACTAAGTACTCTATCTCAACAGCTGTACATCAGTTTTTAAAAAGATGCGCATGAGTATGTCGTCTTATTGATACACTCTTAACGTCATAAAATGTTTAAAACTCAAGTTGGCACACGAGTACAGCGAGTTTTGAATCTTTAGAAGTTTTGAACGTTTTTACCACATTTTTAGTTAAAGATTTGCGAAAATCATCTCTTTTTTTCAACTGAGTACTGGCGGGACGTATTTGTATCATAGCAATCTCCATCGATGACGGTTGCTTGAAGGGTGAATAATATAATTAATGAGATGCCATTTGATTTATGTTCTAATGTTTTCTCGTTTACCCTCACAGTCGTCCCAAGACCTCTTTTCTKTGGTTCGCATCACCGTTCAAAACAATGCGTTTCATAGTGTGGAGACATTATAAGTGGTATATCATTGGTTTTATCATCACGGTGCTACTTGTACTGTTGATTCTGCTGTTTGTATACAACGTCCCTGTAAGTATTAACATTGAGGGCGAGAGGGATAGGGGAAGGGGGGGGGGGGGGGGGAGGAGCAGGCGGCGGAGAGCAGGGAGAGAGTAAGACTAGAGAGCTGAAGAAACCTAGTGTCACACTTAAACCAAAATGTAACAGAACTTTATATATGAAGTCTTATATCCCAAATACGAAGAACCTACAAAGAAATCATTACCAAATGATTWATCAATTATTCACCTCACATTCCATTGATTTTTTACACGATTTTGTTGGGTTTTGGCTAGAGAAAACGAAGTTACTCAATCATGCCAAAACCATTGAACGTTGTTTTTTGTTTTCACAGGGATACAGCGTAAAGAAACTGTTTGGAGCTTGATGAGACAGATTTTCATATTTATATCCCTCTAGCGAGAAAATACTCTATTTATTCAAATAGCAAAACCGAATAGAATTAACAATGTGAAGAAAATTTTAAGTTTTAACTCTAGTGAAGCCATCAAAGTTTGATAAAGTTAGAATTAAAACAAGGTCTTCTATATAGTATAAAGTTGCACCAACTCTGTGAGAAATGAAAAACAAAATGGGTTGTTAAATTTGTAACAAATAAAATTATAATTGCAAATAAAAAAGTTATTTTTTCTGAATGTTTTTAGTTGTCTATCTTCCGTCAAAAACYAAAATTGTTATAAGATAGCCAAATGTTGTCTTRGTTGGCTTCATGATTTTTGCYTGATTTCAATTATATTCTGATTATTTCATTACACTATTTATAACGCACCCACCCTGCCATCATCAAATAGATATAATTATCTGACGTGACTTAAATAAATAGCATAGTGTCTTGAACGCCCTTACAGGCCACTCGCCGCAAAAATTAAGTGACGTCACATTGAACGTCGTGAACCGAAACTTCATCTCGCTCACAAACAATTATTCGCAGTGTTTTATTCAATCACCTGTTTCTCGCTAGTCATTAGAAATAATAATCTTTATATTGGATCACAGTCGATATTTTGCTCTTTGAGTATGCACTGATCACTTGATTTTTTTAGCTTTTATTGGCAATAATTCKATAWATATTTGTATGAAATGCTTATGAACCAGTAGTTGCAACTGTGGGAATGCAAAAAGAAACTGTTGTTTTATCCCTGCGCTCATTCGCGCTCTCATTAAAGCTCTCCTCTGACGTGATTGAGTCACGGTTGATGAATGTCACGCAATATACTTCATTGCATTCATGTTTATAATTCAATTGTTATTTTTTCTATCTTTTCTAAATTATCCCTTCAATTCGTCATCTTTATAGTATCTTTGTACATAGATTTTGAAATACTAGGGTGTTCTGAACACACAAAAGGCAATTGCGTGACACATACTTCTCATAGAGCAGACACCTCCACAAGGTCATTGGTATTTATTTTGCACGTATTGGATTACGAGAGGAGAGAGCAAAGCTACTGGCGTGGCAAGCGGAGTTGGAGCAGAACACCTAAAGCTTCTAGAAGGCGTTGGTGTTTCTTGTATCTTTTCTCTGTCACTCCCTGTCTCTTCGATGAAGAATTAGGTCTCTTCAAGCTCAGCAATGCTTCGTGTTACAGTACAGAAGGCAGCGAACTTGCCTGATGTCGACTTCAGAGGCAAGAGCGATCCTTATGCAAAGTTAAGCTTTCAAGGTTGGTTAGCTATTTAATCTAAGTTCTTTGAAGTAATCATTCTTTGTCTTTTCTCCTTTCGACTTCATTTAGAAAGATAGATATATTATAATGCCTTAAAAAACTTTGAAGCTGTTAATGTTAATAATGTTAATAATATGCTGAAATAGTTGTAAATGCTATAGATTTGAACTGAAATTCCTTTACATGCACAAATAAATTCCGCTATCATTATATAAGTTGTGATAATTTCTTTAAGGAGGTTTAAAATATCTGTTGCAGTGTATATATATCTCTTAAATGATTTGGGCATCATGAATTTATGATGGTATTTAAAATAGCTCCTATTTAAACCTCTACGCGGAAATTATTTCGGATAATTTTTCTGGAGAAATCTTTGAATGAACGATGACAAAAGAATGGCATTTATATCWTATCGAAATCTCAAAACACTCAAAAATTCACTACACAACCTCAAATCACCTCACTTATTTATAATTTCTTATATTTATYAATCAAAATCTGGGTGTTTAGAGATATAAAAAGAGCAGTAAACTTGGATATGATAGGTCAATATTCACCGTGCATAGTTGGGTTCAAAATACCAAGGAATATGACACCTTATGGATCTGTTTAATGTCACTCTTAAATTATATTTCGGCAATTTAGTTGGGCCTCTAAAAATAAGAGTAAAAGTCAGGTAAATGGGAAAAAAGTTGTTTGATGTTAGTCGACGGTTGGCGTCAACACAGCTGAATAATTAAGGAATCATTGAACCGCGACAAATTACACGTTTCTATTTTGAACATTYTTAAATTTTTGTACTTTTTTACATAAATTTTYCAAATTTCTAGGTTTTCTTCAATCTGWATAATATTTTCTTTGCATTTTATTTATGTTTTTACGAAACGACATCAACGTACTCCAATAAAAAAAATATTGATTAAACTTCAATGAGAATTGAAAAGTGAAAACGTCTCAGATTCTTGAATATCCGAAACTATAAAGAGATAGAATAATGGCTCACAGTTTATTGAATTCCGGTAACTCTTCCAAAACTTTATAAAATATATTTCGTTAAAGCATCAAATTTAACGGTTGAAAAACTTAGACGCTGTTGTAGCGTCATTTGCTAATGTTTTCGAGAGAGCACAAAAGACGCTTAAGCACTCTGAACCATAAAAAACGCGCAAAACACAAAACAACAAGCTAAAACACGAGYTTGTGCAAATGACAGTAACCTATATAAGCGAAAATAAGAATTATAATTCCTAATTATTAGTTAGTTAGCCATTAGTTAGTTTGAAAAATGTCACGCTCTCTTGCGTGACAGGCTTACGATTATATTATATATTCATAATTAGCATTATTATTTTTTCCCTTTGTTTATAAGGCGTTCAACATAAGACTGAACACATAAAAGATGAACTTAATCCAGAATGGAATAAGGTACATATATATCATTATTATAATTGGAAATATTATTACCGCCATAATCATCGTTGTTATCATCGTCATCATCACCAATGTTGATATAATTTATTTATGCTGATTTTATCATCATTATCATTTCTTCAATATTTAATAAAAATATCATAATAATTTAATAACGAACGTCATCATCATCATACTCTATTTTCTACAGAGTTTTGAATGGGATCTCAATGGAAAACCACTGAATCCTGACGAAAAGCTAACAGTAGTAATCAAGGATTATGAAAAAATTGGCTTCAACAAGTAAGATATTTCTTGTGTTTTCTTTACAYGTATTTCTTTTGAATTTCCTCAATGATTCATAGCATTATATTTGAGATTGTTGTATTCATCACTGGAAAAAATCGCGCGCCATAAAGGTTGTAAATTTRATGGAAATATGATGTAAGTGTCCAAAATGATGTAAATTTGATGGMAATGATTTTTTCCAGTGATATGAGGTAAGTCTTCTCCAAAKACTGGAGGRGWAATAGGCAGGCAAGTTTTAACAATTTGGAACAAGCCAAACAGAATTAACAGGAGTTTGTAATAGGCCTAATTAATGCCTATTTCTCTGGCGACTCGTCCACAGTTTTCTCTCTTATGTAAACTTWACACAAAACCTTACTGATGGTGTTTCTTTTCTCAGGGTTTTGGGAAAGTGTGATGTTCCTCTTCGAGATCTCGTCAGAGGAAAACAGAAGCAAATCCARCAGTCTTACGCCCTAAAAGATGGAAAAGATAATCCAATAGCGGTAWTTTATCTAATACTATGTGCATTCATTAAGGAAATCAGATTTAGATTGGTTAATTCGTGTTTTTTCCAGGCAACATGCGATCTGCAAATCACTTATGAACCACCAGCAGGTGCACAGGACGATTCTGGTGGTGGTGGTGGTGATGGCGACGAGGAAGATGGTGAAGAAGCGGGGGGAGAAGGAGAGGAAACTGAAGCTGATGAAGAGGGTGGTGAAGAAGGCGAAGAAGCAGGAGGAGAACCCGGGAARCCTGGAAGACCACGACGAAAAAGGTGGGTAGTAATTTGAACATCTGCCTCCAACTGAGACTGTTCACTCGCGAGGAACAAGTGCAAGCTAATKAAGGAAGGAGTTCTCACAAAGCGGGCGCGAAAAACGTTTTGTAAACAGTTTTGAATCTGCCAATACATTTTCTTTTTGTCTGTTAATCAGGAAACGTAAATCTCGAAGGGGAAGACGCAGRTGGTCTGATAAAGTACAAGATTTTCAGGTATGCACATTAAGCTTAAAATTGGTGGCGTTATTATCTCGTAGATTTCGTGTTACGAACCATCACTCACTCACTTTTGTGTGAATTTTTTTTTCTTTTTTTTTCTTTAGATTCGCGTGAAAGTCATCGAAGGCCGTCAATTACCAGGAAATAATATCCACCCCYTGGTACGTATTACAATGTCCAATCAGAAACGAGAAACACAGGCCTGCAGATCAACCAATAAGCCMGTCTACAATGAGGTACGCATCTGTATACGATATATCAAAAATAATTAGGATAATTTGAAGAAAAAAACACACAACTTGTAACTTGGTTTCCACTCTTTGTGATTGAACGTTTCGGGCATTCGCCTTTCTTCAGCAAACTCTATATTGAATATATATATATTTCCAAAATGGTGACATTTATTCTTGTTTCTTTGTAGAGCTTTGTCTTCAATTTCCACACCTCAGAAGCAGAACTTTTTGATGAGTTATTTGTGGTKGARGTAARGGTCGTTTTTATGTCTACCATTTTATAYTTGAGGRTAGAAGGCATTTGGCAACATATTTTAACGGTAAAAAAATCCTTTTCTRCAGGCTTTTAACTCCAAGAAGTTGAGATCAGATGCTTTGCTGGGATACTTTGAGGTGTGTATCTGATTAAAGCGTGCACGTAATGTCACGACTAACATTAGCGCAATAATAACGCTCATTGACTTGTACTTACATCGACTTTTTTATTGCCTCTAGTCCGATATTGGGAGTATATATGAAATGAAAGGTATGTCCAGTTATTCCCTGGAATCTCCACCTTTTTATCAGATTACATGTGTTGTCTGGTGATTCACAGATTTTGTAAATACTCATCGTTGTTTTTTTTAAGGTCATTCCTTTGTCAGGAAGTGGGTACTTTTGACAGGTCCAGGATCTGAGGGCGGCGATGATGACGAGGTAAAAATGTCGGTCACTTTTTGAATTCCAGCGAGATAGAATTCTTGTAATGAATTGAACACATGTTGCTACAGTTTCGACTAAACTA